TATATATATATATATATATATATATAAAACTAGGTTAAATATGCTTCAACTATATGCACAGCAGCATAAAAAATGTGGCCCTTACAATTCTCACCTACAACAGGTCAGACAAGGTTTCCATCAATTTCCAGACCTTTTGCAGAATAACCAGGAGGTTAAATTCATTTGAATGGGTTTCAATACTAAAATGAACGGTGCCCTCTCAGAGGTTATATCAACATTGTCTCACATAACCTGGACAATCATTAACTATGGCTTAAGATAGAAAGCTGAAATTCTCAACAGTATTCCTTTTAATAAAAAAAAACTCATTAATAGCATATGTGTTTTTTCTATCTTACAATGCATTATTTCTTTTGCAATATGTCTTTTAAATCAAATATCTTCTCTTAAACCCTAATTAATACTAATTTACATGTGTTTTATTTCCAAGTGTCTCTGTGTGTTGAAATCTAAACAGTGCACACCCATTGAATCTCAGCTCTTTTGCAAATCAACGTCTGGGACAAGTTATACCATTTCTAGATGAAATGTTTCACACAGCCAGTAGATTTAAAATAGATGAATAGGTACTGCTGCCTTTACTTGGAGTTGGGGAACATAGCTACAGGTGAAGGCAGCAAATCCACAGGGCCAAAGAAGGCATTATTATTCTGTGTTGACATTAAGGGCGTGAAATTAACTGAATGAGTATGCTTATTCTTAGTAGATTATCTCAGGAATTCATTGCACAATAGGCTGCACGTTACTATTCCCACTTTCAAAAGTTTAATTAAACTATATTTCAATTCTGGGTAATTTAGTGTCTTTGAAAAGGAATGTATTTGTTTTCATTTGTGCTTATTTTAACATATTGTATAAAAAAATAAAAAAATAACATTCCAATCTGACCTCTGACACGAAGTTTAAAGAAAAACAGGTGGATGTAGAAACTTCCTTGACTTCCCTGAATGCCTCACGCCTCGAAGGAGTGGCCGCCGCACCTGTCCGACCTGTTCGGGGGATACATGACTCCAGAGGAATTTCTCCCCCCTTCTCCCGTCTTTTGTTCAGCTGCGTTTTTTGTTTTTTTTTTTCCCCCTCTGAGGGAGAGTGGACAGAGAGAGTCAGAGGAGTGGAGAGGGACGCAGATAGAAGATGTCGTCGGAACCAGCACCAAACCCCGACGCCACCTCCTTCCCAACGCCAACTATCTCCTTACCTTTGGGACTGGGGGTGCTGAGGACATACTCTGGAGCGCTTGTCTCTTTGGAAATAGTAAGTGTCATTTTGCAGTAAGTGGTTTTATACGAACAAATAGTCAGCCAGTGTGGGTTAAGTTGTTATTTCTTTAAAAATTAATGTTTAACCTCTGATAAGAGTCCATGCTTAACACACTGTTTTTATTTCTAATGCACTAAACTAAAAAAAACTAAGCCTGTCTGTGATTGCCTTAAATAAAACATGCTGCTTTGAAAATAAATCTGGCATGCAGTTTATTGTTATTGCACTATGGCCACATTTTGCATTGTCATTAGCCTTATCTCATTCTATTTATGAGGAATACTGTGGCAGGGCCATACATGTTCCTGCAATAAAGCACATTTTCCCCTGCAAGGTGACCTCTGCAATATAAGTAACTTCTAATCTGCTGGATAATTTGACTATTATCTGGAAACTGCTCTGCTGCTGGGGCCATTTATAGGCCTCTGGATGGAAACTAGCATTCAAATGCTGACTTTAAGCTTTTATCCAAAGTTGCACCTTGCTGTTAGAGTAGTAGCGACCCATCTAATTTGTTGGGCAGTAGCTTCTTGTCATGAGCCATAAAGCATCAGCTATTAATGCTTTGCATTGAAGTAAGACTAGTTGTCAGATTTGTGAACTTTCTTAAATACCGTATGCTGCTTTGTTGTCTAAAAATCCACAACTGCAAGCATTGTGAAGGGATTTTCAATATTGTTCCACGGTATAAAATTTAATATGATTTACATAGTTGAAATAAACAAGCTCACCATAATTGTACTTAGAGTATTTTTCCAGCAGCTTTGCACATCCAGAGAATGAAACTACATTCTCTTCTTTATAAAACCACTCAAACTAATTTGAGTGTAAAACATCTTTGCCAATCAGTGCTCAAATCTCCCCATAGATTCTGAAATGGAAGCGGATCTGGACTTTAACTGGGCCAATCTGAATGAGTTTTGATTTAAATAGTTCAGTTATAGCTCAGAATATATTGTCCTTGAGGAAGATAATCAGCCTTAGCATCAAATGTTTGTAACAGGTTTTTCTTCTTTCCCATCAATTCTGACCAGCTTTCTTGTCCAACATAAAGAAAAAACATTGCATTGCACTGGATTTCATATAAGTAAAAGACATTTAGATTTAAACAGAAAACTAAACTGTGACTGACTTTTATGTTTGTATCTTTCCTTCTGAGCAGCCTTTCAGTCCACATAAAGCAGACATGTTAAGCTCTAAGCCCACTGACTACATCCAGTTTGTGACTCAGTGATATTCACCCTATTAGATCATTACAAATGTCTAATTACCCAGTAGTAGATTCTAAAGTTCTGACACCAGTTACAATACATGTTCCTGAATGCACCACAACAGCTACCTGTGACTCAGCTCATAGGTAAACATGGATCCGGGTGCAGCTTTTCCTCCACCCAGGCATTTGAATGGTTAAAACATTTTAATCAGGGAATGGCAAACTAATTATTCAGTGTAACTGTTTGACATGCAACACCACATGGATAGTTTTATAATTAGATGTCCCTTATACATCTAATGATGGTCTTCAATTTAACCCAGATATAAAAAAACAGCTAACGACTTAAAATAGCCACATTATGCTAATCTAGGCTTTCCCAAGATATTTAGACGTATTGGAGTCTCAGTAAAAATCATTTAGTAAATCATAACTAACTTGTTACAGGAAAATAATTGGTTGAGATATTCTCCAACTTGTGTATACATTTAGATATGATTTGAGATTTTATTTACAGGGTAATATTTGATAAGGTTTTAGATGAAGTATTTCCTCTTCACCAGATTTTGGAAAGGAAAAGAGCTGGTTTTGGCATAAAAGATGGTAATTTCCTTAAAATGAAACATAAAACTGATTCTGAGAAGATATTGGTACATATATTTTCCTGCAGCCTCAATTACTTCACAATTTTGATGAAAACGTTTTACTCTTACTTGTGTACATGTGGTAAAATTACAATTTAATACTCTATCCCTTTTGTTTGACTTGTGTAGAAAGATTGCTGCCTTGTGGGTAAATATCTGTCCAGCATCTCCTTTTACATCCGACACAATCATGTGAAAAACTTTCATCATCAACTATTGCTGGTTTTTGGATATGTTGAAAGCATAAGATTCTCAAGTGTGAGATCCCAGAGCTTCTCATTACCCAATGAAAAAATGTATTTCCTGCTAAGCTATGCACACCCAGCCCTGTCTGCAATGATAAAGATGTACTTACCTTGGCCTATCAAGTGCTTTTGGCATTCCAGGCTTCTTTCTAAGTTATTTGACCAAGTATTGACCACAGGGAAGTAATATTGTTTGGACATTTAACTTTACATTCATAAAGCAAACTGAACTGGATTTGGACCAAAATATATAGATATATGGACAAGACTGTTTATGCTCCTCGTTAAATGCAATAAAATAACCCACAACAGTCACAGAAATCACTTTAATATGACAAAATGAATAAAAATTCTGAGAAAATTATCAATTGAACTTTGGAAATTGCCTTTCAACCAGAATGATTTTTTTTAAAAGTAAACTCATGAAACAGGCCTCAACAAAAACTATGGCACCGCTTGAAAAGGCTGAAAATATTGTGTATAAAGGAAATTGTTAAATCAAGTTGTGTCCACTGATTAACATCTAAGTGTCTACATTCTTGTAATCAGTCAACTGGCTTATTAATAGGGCTACAGGTAGTCACTGTGCAGTTCTGTGACATGGACCAGAGGGAGCAAAGGAAAGCGTTGTCTCAGAAAGCAAGGAAATAAATTGATAGACAAGCGTGTTAATGGTAAAGAATATATGAGCATCCCTAAACAACTTGACATTCCAGTGAGTATAGATGCAAATATTATTCAGAAATATAAGATCCATGGGACTGTTGCCAAACTCCCTGGATGTGGCCACTGCAGGAATACTGATGATAAATGAAATAGACAGATAATATGACTTGTGACAAAACAGCCAGGAAAAAAACTTCTAAAGAGATTGAAAGTGAACTTCAAGCACATGGAAAATCAGTGTCAGGTCCCACTATCAGTCGTCGTTTGAGCCAAAGTGGACTCAATGAGAGACGACCAAGGAGGACACCATTGTTGGAAACAAACCATACAGAAATCAGACTGGAATTTGTCAAAACACATGTTGACAATCCACAAAGCTTCTGGGAGAATGTCCTAATGACAGATGAGACTTAATTGAACTTTTTGACAAGGCACATTAGCTCTATGTTCACAGACAGAAAAATTAAACGCATAAAGAAAAGAAGCCTGTCCCTGCTGTGAAACATGGAGGAGGCTCTGTTATGCTCTGGGGCTGCTTTGACACAGGGTGTCAGATGGTAAAATACATCTGGAGCAAATGTTAAAGACTATCAAGGGATTCTAGAGAGAAATGTGTTGCTCAGTGTCAGAAAGCTTGGTCTTAGTCACAGGTCATGGATCTTTCAACAGAATAATTTATTAGTTTTTATGGCACTAGTGGCTCGTTTCTGACAGTAGGCTGACAGGAAAGGGGGTATGAGAGAAGAGGAGAGACACGCGGCAAAGGACCACAGGCTGGATTCAAACCCAGGTCGGCCGCATCGAGGACTAAGGCCTTCGTACATGGGTCATGGCACTAACCCCTGCGCCAACTGCACACCCAAATGAAACTTTGTGACATGAACACCTAAGATTCCGCTCATTAGATGGGAATCTCTATTTCCAGTCTGTGTAGACCAGGGGTGCTCAATTCCGGTCCTCAAGAGCTACCTGTAACTTTTAGATGCATCTCTTCTCTAGCACACCTGAATCTAAAACCTCAATCCCCTCATTTAGGTCAGCGGAGGCATGGTAACGAGCCACTCATTTGATTCAGGTGTGATAAAAATGGTTGCATCAAAAAGTTGCAGGATAGTAGCTCTCGAGGACTGGACTTCAGCACCCCTGTTCTAGACTAAAGAATTATTTTCTTTCCAGTGGCCCTGATAACATTTATTAAATGCCTCATTAATGCTCTATGCATTCACCTCTGCTGAAAAAGAGTTTCAAAAAAACACCAGTTGGTGGTCGTTTAAACTTTAGCTAATATATGAAATATTTGTTATAGTTTTAAATCAATTTATACTCTAAAATTAACTTTTTAAGATAAATGTCACTATCTGTTGGTAAGTTTTAGTCTCTTCAAAAGATGACTGTTGGGAATTCAGAGAAACACTGCTTGAAATGAGTGTAACTGAGAGGAAAACTAAACATGAATGTACATTTTTATATCAGTCTATTATACTTTCTTAGGACTGCAGTTTTTGCATAATAATAATAATGATAACAATAATGCAATAATGAAAATATAAAAGCATTATAATAGAATAATACATAAAAAGCCAATAGGAGTAGTTTTTGTAGTAGTACTACAAGCCTGTATTATTTGTAGTAGTGGTGCTAGAAGTAGTAGCAGTAATATAGTGTATAATAATGGAAAAAAGTATGAGTAGTTTTATTATGATTCTTCTTATTCTATGCAGTAGGAGTAGTAGTAGAAGCAGTTTTTCTTGTATTTGTATTAACTGCTTTTGCTTTTTCTTGGGCTGGTATTTACATTTATTTCATAATGTAGTATAGTAAGACCAAAACACATCTTGTTTGTATTTCTCACCGCAACAGGATCGATATATACTTTTTATTTCATATTTATTCACTTCAGGTGGAAGATTTTATTTCATATTTATTTAGGTTTGTTTTTTTTTTTGTTTTTTTTTTTCTGGGGGGTCTCCAAAAAACATTTCACTTAGGGCACCAGTTTGGTCAGGGGCAACACTGGCCCTGACCTATTGAGCATATTAGAAAGAGGCTGAAAACTGAAACAACTGGAGCAAGTTCCTCATGAGGAGTGGGCCAAAATACCTGCTGAGAGGAACAGAATTTCACTGATGGCTAGAAAAATTGTTTGATCGCAGTGATCGATTTAAAAGGTTGGGCAACAAAACCCTTTTTTTTTTTCTAGGCCTTTTACTTTAGTTTATTTCTCTTGAAGCATTGTTAAAAAAAATTGTATCTGACTTTTATTTGTTCATTGTCATAAAATTTGTCTTTCATCTTTCTCAGATTCAAATAATTTCTGTGACCATTGTGGGTTTTCTTTCTTTAAACGAGGGGTACAAACAATTTTGTCCATCTGTGTTCATCAAAATTTAAAGATTAGGTATAAATGCATTTGAATACTGTACTTCCCACCCTTTCATTTACTCACTGTACAATTAGGGATGAATGAAAACTTTGATTCTCAAAATGGCATATGTGCTGTGATAAGAAACTGTTTTCTATAAGATCAGTTGCCAGGGCAGTGCCAAGCCATCAAACCTAAATAAACGTACCACTTTGGTGAACTTTTCTCACCATATTTATTCCTGTTCCCAGTTATTCGGAGGTCTGGTATGGATCTTGGTGGCATCCTCCAACGTGCCCGTCCCTTTGCTCCAAGGCTGGGTGATGTTTGTTTCCATCACCACCTTCCTTCTGTCCTCTTGCTACCTCACTTTGCTCATCACCGGATTGGCTGACCGCATCAACACGAACTGGAACTTTGTGGTAAGCTGCCAATTTAACAAAAATTGTTTTAAATGGGATATATAAGTAAGACACGACTGTTTAGGGTATCCGTTAGTGTGTCTACCTCCTCAGCTGTACGTCATGCATCGCTGGACTTCTTGAACTAACTGAGAACTTTAGACAGATATTCTAAAACAGCGATTTTTGCTACTTACCTCTAAATATTATCATGTTATATTTCTTATAACCAGCTCTTTTTTGATTCAAGAGCCTTCTTTTTATCCAAGAGATCCAGTGTGAAAGGATAGAATAAGTGCTTATAAAAAAATACAATATTAGAAAAGTAGCCATCACAACATTTTAAAACCTGGTTAACTAGTGTTAAAGAGGTTTTATGTACTGAGGTTAGAGGAAACTTTGTGATGTGGTGTTCAGTGTTTAAATTTGGAAACCAACACAAGCAAAAAAACACAAGAAATGATTTCAATAATTAACAATGTTAATTAGAAACAGGGTAAATGTAATGAAAAAAGAACATTTAAACTGACTTTCTTGATATATATAAATGAGTTAGGGTTTACTTTATAAAGTAATCGAGAAATATTTCTACTGGTTTTATGTAGGTCTTTTTTCCCCCTTTATTTGGCTACAGACAGCTTACGTTGCTTAAGAATAAGTAAATTAGTTGTGGTTGAATATATTGCACACTGCTGTAATTCAAACCTAATTGATATTTTCAGTTATCCTTGTCAATTTTTTACAAAGTCTTTCCCTGAAAAGTTGAATTTGTGATTTTTTTGCATTATAAATGCTACGTAAGGCTTAGCATAGCCTTTTATAGTAGCCTCCCAGATAAAGTCACCAGGTTGGCTGCACAATCCAAATAAAAAATATTTTTAACAAAAATACATTATATATTTTAAGTGTAGAGCTCTCTCGGCATTATATTGATGTTGTGACCTCACATTTTTGGTTCAAGTCTGGACCCTCAGACAGAGCTAGCCTTTCCTCTTGCTCCATGCTCTGCTCCAGGGAGTAGCCGGCAGTGTAGGGTTGTTTGTTTTCAGCCGAACAATGAGTGACATGGATGGTGAGCTCACACTGAAACACAACAAAGGGCTCCTTCTTGTCCATCCGGGCTCACAGTAGTCCGAAACAAACTCTCATTAACCCTCCTCCCTTTCAGACACACCCTCCCTCTCTATCTCTTCCAGGCATCCTTGTTCTTTTATGTTTTCTTGATTTTGGTTTTTATGATTCTTGTTTGTGTTTTTGTTTTTTTTGACTTTTACTTGCAAATTAAATCAAACAGGCTGTATCTTTGGGGGGAGATGGAAGATCCCTAAACTATGGTTTAGAAATGAACACTGATAATCGATGAATTGGTTTATGTCTGAAATATATATGTCTTAAATATTTTGTTCTATTTGTTTCAAATATCCTTTTGTTCTTCTCCTCAGGATTTGTTTTACCACTTTTTAGCTTTGCTCTTCTACTTTTCTGCGTTTGTGTTGGAGGCGGCAACGACGGCAGCGAATGGAGGAGCTCATGTCAACTTGCTACCAAACAGCACCGAGTCCGTCCTGTGTATAACCTACCCCCGGGGCAACATTTTCACTGTGATGACTTACACACAGTACAGCATTAACGTGACAGCTACGGTCAGTTGTTTTTAGGAGGAATATGTTATAAAGAAATTAAGATTTTCATCCGAGGTTTTCCAGTTTAAATAAGGAGCAGATTTCTACTAAAATGAGGCTTCATTAAAACAGTGAAGGGGAAAAAAGCAGATTCTTGCTAAGTTGACAAGTTTTGCAATGTTTAGTGTTTCTACGATTTGTAGCATCATATAAAAAGGTTTTCACAAAATTTATAATTTGTTAAAACTGTTTCTTTTTGGGTAGGTTTTATTTTTATGGTAAACAAAAAAAAAAAAGATCTGTGTTGATGACAAAAGTAACCATGTGCAGCCAAAATGCACTCCTGTTGCTAAATTATTTCCGCTTCTGCAGGTACAGGGACAAAGACACGGCATGTTGGTATTTTATAAACTGCATTTTAAATGTGTGACCTGTGTTTTGTTTAGATAATGTTACTAATCCTGAGTAAGGAGAAACAAAATTGTCAGTTTTCTTCATGCCAGAATCAGTTTAACAGAGAATTTCATATTACTGTAACGCTTTTTTTTTTTTTTTTTTTTTTTTACAGTACATCAATAACCAAGTAATAACATGGTAATAACATAGGAAGCAACTAGTACTTGGTATTAAGCAAAACTTTTGGGTTTTCACCCCAAGATTAAGGTATCTGATTTCAAAATAATAAACTGCACGTAATTATTACAAATGTGTGTGACCATGTAAAATTGTAATTACCATTAGGTTACCACATAACATTTTCTATTATTGACCACCCACCACCTACAAATATAAAACTGAGCTCAAGATGTACTGATAAATAAGAGTTCAGTTAAGAAAAATGGCTTGCTGTATTCTAGGTTTGGTTTTCTGTTATATAGCAAGTAATAAATGAATATGAGTTACCTGGTAATAGGGGTTTGAAATCTAAGATGTCTGACTTTACCTTTTCCGCTTAAAATTTGAAGCACAGCACTAAGTAAAATTGTTGTTACCTAGTAATATAGTGTAACTTGCTATGTTATTACCATGTTATTACATGTTATTAATGTACTGTAAAAGAAAGCGTTACCATTATTACTAATGTTATTTAGGTACAGTGGTGGGACAATGTGTTTTCCCCAATTCTGATTTCTTTTTGCTTTTCCATGGTTGTCCCACCTGAGTATTTCAGAACATCCAACTAATTTAGATATTAAAATGCAGCTTTTAAAATGTTAAAGTTTTTTTTTATATATTTAAGGAGAGAGAAAAAATCAAACCAACATGGCTGTGTGAAAAAAAAGAACATATATATATATATATATATATATATATATATATATATATATATATATATATATATATATATATATGACTTTACTTCCCCCTAAACCTAATAACTGGTAGGGCAGCCCTTTCCAGCAACTGATGCAGTCAAGTGTTTGCGAGAAGCTGTAATGAGTCTTTTACAGCTCTTTAAGTAATGTTTGCAGAAAAGCTGTAAATCATCTTGACTGGAGGTTTTTTTTTTTTCATTTTCTTCCAGCATTAAATGCCTTTTTAAGGTCATATCGCAGCATCTCACCTCTATAGTATTCAGGATAGGACTTTGAGGTTTAAGAATTAATTTGTTTTTCTTAAAGTTGTTCAGAGATAGACTTGCCGGTGTGGTTTTAAATAATTACAGACAGCAGAGTTAATGTTTTAACAAAGCGAGTCTCTTGGGTCCTGAAGCAGCAGATGGACCCCACACCATCACACTACCCCCAACGCGTTTTACGGTTGCTATAATGATCTTTTTTCCTGAATGCAGTGTGACATTTACACCAGGTGTAAAGTGTAACACACCTTCCTAAAAGTTTAACTTTTGTCACATCAGCCCACTGAGTTTCCTGAATGTCTTGGAGATTATCAGCATGTGTTTTGGAAAATGCAGACAAGCTTCAATGTTGTTGTTGCTCAGCAGTGGTTTTGGTCTTGGAACTCTGCCTTGTCCAGTCTCATCCTAATGGTGGAGGCATGAACTCCGACCCTAAATGTGGCGAGAGACCTGCAGCTCTTTGGATGTTGAGTTTTTAGTTTTGACCTCTTGGATAAGTCGCTGCAATCCCCTTTTTTTCCCTTGATAATAAAGACCTTCATTTAAAAGCTGCCTTTTTGTATATATGATGTTTACATATATTCTGAAACATCACTGTATATTCTATAAAATATCGGGGGGGTTTTTATATGCTTTTGTGGGCTTACTTTATTTTTCCCTTTTCTTCCAGATATTTGCATTTTTTGTGACTCTCTGCTATGGTTGCAGTATGGTTATGGGATTCAGGAGATGGATGAAGTAACCAGGACGACGAACATAAAGTAACATCCTAACAACAGCATGACTGTCTTATACAAAGCAATGTTATTCTTCCGGTGAAGTACACACTGTTATTACTCCAACGTGATGCTTTTGTCACATAGCAAACCCCACACAGCAATCATACTTTTCTGTTATTTAAAAATGTCTCCTATACACCAAATGAATCCGTTTTAGATAAGTTCAGTCAAATGTTCCTCAGCGGGAACCCACTGGAAATTAGAAAGAGACCAGAGATGGCTTTATACTGTAAAGCTATATTTTTAGACTTTTGACTAATTTTGCAAAATGAAATGCATATTTTACTCCTTACTAATTAAAAAAAAACAACGATCTATTGCTTTGAAAAACTTGGTCTTAGCTGCGTTTCTTGATGTTTAAATGTATCTGATACTACTATATGTTGCTTTAAGGACTGTCAGATATTCTCATCTAATATGGGAATAACAGCTTTTCCAGTATTATAACAGACACATTAAATTCAAATTTGGCATGCACTGAATGTTATGATTGAAGTCCTTGCTTAAGTTGATCTTTGGATCTGTTGATTTCACTTTAAATGTAATCATATAATCCTGTCATCAATTAAACAGAAGATAGAAAATTTCATAAATTTTCAAACGTCTTCATTTAGGTGGATCTTTTATCTGCATAAGTTTTGGAAAGCATTTAAATAGTGTTTTATATTGAACTGTTGTATTATTTAACTGTGTTGATCTAACTGATTTTAAATGTCACAGTGTATGATCTCATTTATTGTGCACTTTTTGTTTGTATTAGACTAATTATTTAATAGATTTTTAATTTGAAAGTTTGTCTTGACTCCTGCTACTTTTGAAAACTGAAATGAATTCATGAACTAAAATAAACAGATGTGTGTTTTATTACAGTGTGTATTTTATGTGTCATTACATAGAGCTACCAACAGAAATAAGTCTCCTTTTCACACAAAATTGAGAAATGCATGTGAAAAATGTTAGCCAATGAAATATGTGCATTTTGTGGATTTACATAACTTTTCTTCGATTTATTTGGAGGATAGAAAGCACTGACGTGAGCTTTATTTAGGACTGACCTAGACTGATATTTTCTATTGGTAGTATGCTGGCACACACTTTATGGGTACATGTATCCCTAAGTACTAAGGCAACTTGTATTACCTGTGACATAAACGTACTGTTATAGCTTGTAGTTTATCCAGACTTTTTTTAATTTATCTTGAGTACACTTTCAAAAGTAATATCAAAAAAATGTGAAGGATATTTTCTAATTATTTTATTTCAATGCTCAGCATCTCATGTAAAATTAAACAAAGCTGCAAGTAGTTCAAAAAAAGGGCTTCTGTGTCATATATTGCAAAAAGGTAAAGTCACATGAGTCAAATGTTTTTAAACTTTCTAACTGAAAAATTTAAATATTACAGATTTTTCAAGAACTAGCTGTTAATTCAAGATTATGCTACTTCACTACAATATATAAATCACTGTAGATCACCGGGGATTCTAATCACATATTTAGTATGCTTAATGTGGCACATGGTGCTTGCAGAGCTTCAGACTGAAAAAACTACCAGAAAAGTTAAACTATAAAAAAATATTTTGATAATTGGGAATAAAGTTCTTACGTGTTTTGTACAGTATGGTAGAGTTTGCAAATACTTTTACATCTCAGTATGGCACATTTATTCAATATCCTACCAAAAACGTCATCAGGTATTGTTAGTTTTACAGTCAGATAATAGCTTTTGCATTTTTGTTCTTCTTAGGTACTGCCTAAAATTAGGGAAAAGTTTTTTGTTTTTTTTTAGATGTTTGTTCATATTTTCATTATCTAATTTTAACAAGAATATTTGGAGTTCTGAGACTATATTAGAAGTGTGGTTTGATCTTGAAGAACAGATACAAAAGATTTCTAAGATAAGTCTAACAAATGTTTTGTAGTTTTCATA